GACAATGTTTAAATGACTTTATTTTTTATCTTTTCCTCATTTTATAAATGGGCACAGCACAGAAATAATTAAAAAAAATAGACAGTACCATTACAGTGCTAGATCCATTGGCAAAGATTATTTTTAGAGTCTTTTTTTTTTTTCCTTTTTTTTTTTTTTGTCATTATTTTTAAAGTTTTGGCCATTGAGTAAGAACAAAAACAATTAACAAACATTTTCTTTTCCTTTCCTTTTCCAAACAGACACTATGAAGCCATTTCAGTACTAAACTCTAGGAGAGTTATGTACATACAAAAAAAAGTTCTGTTTAAGATATGTCTCCTATTAAAAATATTTACATGCATTTTTTTTTCCCTCCCGGATTCATTGAAAGCTCCAACGTTTTGCAGCGTTCCAGGTCTTTGTTTTGTTCTACTGGGATTGGAAATCAGCTCCAAAAAAAAAGTGAAGTTGGAATTACTTCAATCTTCTGGAAAGGGAGATTTTATTTTTTTTTTTTTTAATTTTATTTTTGGGATGTTTATCGATGGATTTTTTTTTTGTCTTTTTTTTAAAATTATTTTATTTTTAATTTATACAAGAAGGTTTGATGTTTATTTACAGGAGGATCAGTGGGTGATGGTTTATCCTGGAGATGTGGTGGTGACAGAGAAGGGGGTGGATTTTAAAAAGTTTTCCTATCAAACTGCAATGGATTCCTGTTTTTTGGGAGTCTGGTTTGATTGTCAGCCGGGCTGGGGTGAATTCCCTCAACAGAGGGAATTCCTGCAGGAAAAATCCCTGGCACCCTGGAGGTCTTGGGAGAAACGCTGGGATGCGGGGAGTGAAAAACATCGGGAGTTTTTTTAGCCAGATATCAAAACAATGGGAAAAATAAAAATAAAAATAAAAATAAAAATAAAAATAAAAATAAAAATAAAAATAAAAATAAAAATGGAGTTTGGGTGCTGCAGGCTGAGGCTCCTCCACAGGGATGAGGGGCAGGAGGACGGGGATGCTCCACTTTGGATCCATCCCAGGATCCCATCCCGGGATCTGCTCCAGCCCTGGCAGCGGCAAAAAGATCCTGAACCCCACCCCAGCTCACCCCAACCCACCGGGATCGGGATCAGGATTGGGACTGGGATCAGGGCAGGGAGGAGCAGCAGGAATGTGAGAGGTGGGATCCCACATCCCCGGGGATAAGGACTGAGGCTGGATCCTGCATCCCTCGGGACAGGGAATGAGGGGGAATCCTGAATCCTTTGTGGGGGTTGAGGCTGTATCCCACATCCCTTGGGACAGGGAGTCCCACATCCCTTGGGACAGGGAGTCCCACATCCCTTGGGACAGGGAATCCCATATCCCTTGGGACAGGGAATCCCACATCCCTTGGGACAGGGCTGAGGCTGCAGAGCCCAGCGCGTGGTGCTGGAGGACAAATCCTCCTCCCTTTCCTCTTTTCCCTCCTCCTCTTCCTCTTTTTTCCTCCTCCTTTTCCTCTTTTTCCTCCTCCTTTCCCCCTCCTCAGGAGCAGAGCCCCCCGCCCCGTGCCCACCTGTACATCTCTACCTATTAATTACATTAATTACATACACTTATATACACACATGGACACCCAGCCCCATCCCTGCTCCCGGGGAGCTCCTTCCCACAAAACCTTTCCGGATGGAAACCCCAGAGCCTGCCAGAAAACCTCGGAGCCAGGGAAAAATCGTGAGAAGGGTGGTGATGGGAGAAGAAAGGGAATTAAAAACTCCATCCCTGTCCTCAGCTGATGGGATCGTTCCCGTGGAAGCCTCGGAGCCGGTGACTGACGGCAGGGAGAGCTCGGAATTCTGGAGCTGGGGCAAAGGAATTCCCAAGCAGGGATTGTTTGAGGGAGTTTGAGGCAAACCAGCCCATGCTGGAGGCCACCCAGCCCAAACCATCCCCTTCCCTGCAGCTGGATCCCCCCAGCACGGCTCATCCAGAGCTCCAAAATCAGGGACATCTTTGGAGCAAAGGGACAGCTCCACCCTCCACAGGGACCTGGGGCTTTTTATGGAAAGATCCAAGACCAGAGAGATTTTTGGAGCAAAAGGACAACTCCCAGCCCTGCAAAACCCACCCAGGGCTGGGTCCTGCCCTCCCCATCCATCCCCTGCCCTTCCCAGATTCCCCATTCCTGGCTGGGGCTCTCGGCTCTTCCCTTCCCTTTGATCCTCTCCTCCTGCCTTCTCCTGCTGGATGTGGCCCACAAGTTCCTGGATATTCTCCAGCTGCAGTTCCAGCAGGGAGAGCCCCAGGGCTGGCACAGCTGGCAGAGCAGCCCACACCACCCTACAACTCCAGGAACTCCTCAAATTTCCCAGCTGGAACAGCCGGGGGTCTCCCTGCGGCTCCAGCGCGTGGCACACGCAGGAACGCGAGGAAAAGAAACGGAAAAGCCATGGAAAATCCCTGGGGGAGCACAGCTGGAAGGACCAGCACATCTGGGCACTGCTCCAGCTGCTCCTGGCTGGGATCACCACGAGGGATCGGAATTTGGGCAGAGGGGACGAAGCCAGGCTGGGCTTTGGGAAGGGAAGGTGCTGGAGGAGCTCCGCTCACTCTGGGGTTCATTTTCCCAAAAATCTGCTCTGCAGCCGGGGGATGGCTCCTCCTGTGCGGAGCTTCCTCCCCTCTTCCCCATCCCTCTTCCCACCGGGAATCCCTGAGGAGCCTCCTGCAGGAGGGAGCAGCTGCCTGCCCCAGGGGTTCCATCCATCCCTGCGGCTCTGCTCATGGAGAAATGACATTTCCAGGAATTTTTGGGGATATGGGCTTCCCCAAAAAAGCCTGCCCGTGTTCAGCTCCATCCCAGCTCCTCAGAGGGAGGCACAGGATCACATCCTCCATCCTCCTTTCTTTTTCCCCTTCAAACTCCAACAGCCCCCATGGAGCTGAGGTGACCCAAGAGGCTGTGACATCATTAACACCACAAAAAGTCAGCTCCAAACCCAAAAATTTCTCCTGGAGCTCGCCTGCCTCTCCAGGGGGAGAGCAAAAGCGTGGAAGCAGGAGATAAAGGATGAATTATTTGATCACTTCTGATTAGCAGTTTAATTGCCTTCGCCTTTTTTTTTTATTGTGTTTATCTCATGTTTTAATTTCTGCCAAAGTCCTGCCCCGGCTCCTCTCACCCTCCCACCTCCAGCTTTCCTCACTCCTGAAGCTGTGACGGATTTAAGTGCCGGGATTACAACCTAACACCAGCTGAGAGGGACGAGGTTAAGCTTGAATGAGTAAAAAAATTGTATTATGGAACTTCAGACTATTAAATAGAGGGAAAAAATGGAATGAAGAAGATTAGGGAGGCAGCTCTGAAAAGCAGCATTAAAAAGATTAAGCTGGGAGGGTTTTTTTTTTAAAGCAAGCTCCAAAGATTAAATCCAGGTTTTTCCAAAATACGGGGATTTTGGGTGGCCTTGGTGACCTTGATTTGTGCCACTCTCCCTTGTGTGATCCCAACAGAGCTAAAATCCTCCAAATCATCAAATCCAGGAGTCCAAACTCCGTCTGGGAATGGTCACTCCCAGCACCACCACCCCAAACATCCAACAGGGATTTCACCAAGCTCCAAGAACCTCAGCCAGGAGGATTTTGAGGCTGAGAGCTCAAAAATGAGGATTTAGCGCTGATCCACACAGCAGGGCTCTGTTCCCCATCCAGAATAAAGCCAGGTCGTCATTTTGGGTTGTATCCCAGGGAAAAACAGCCCAAAGCTCCCAAATTCCCAGCCCCAAATCCCACCCAAGCATCCCACTGAGAAATTCCAGGGATTCCATTTCCCTCTAGACCCGTGGAAGGGCATATGGGAGTGGAGATATATATTTATATATATTTAAAATATTCCTAGGGCCTCAAATCCCTTCCAGAACGAAGCTCTTCCATCCTGTAACCCCCACCAGGGCCATAAAACCCTAAATCCACCAACCCCCTCAGGGGCCCAAGTGTCCCTGGCTCCGTGCAGCTCAATTCACAAAGCAACGATTTTTTTCCCCAAAATTTTCCCATTTAAATTTCTCCAAGAGCAAATCCAAAGTCTCCCCACCGAGATCACGACCATCATGACAACAAAGCTCCACAAACAAACAGGGCTCCAGCTAATTAAGAGCCACCTCATTGAAACATCTTAATTAAAATATCTTAATTGAATCTGTGTGCAGAGATTGCTCTGGAAAAATCCAGCCTTTCCCAAAGGCACTGGAGGGTCTGGATCTGCGTCCTGGACGCCTGGGGGGTGCCAGGGTCAGGATCTCTCCATCCCTGTGGGTTGTGCTGGGATTTAAACACCAGAGAAGGAAAACCATCAATGCTGGGGATTCAAACAACAAAGGAAAACCATCAGTCCTGGGTCTTCCCATTGATTTTGGGATGTTTCCAATTAACTCTGGGGTGGAGCCATGGTTCTGCCTCCTCTTCCTCACCTCTGGAGCTGGCAGGATCCCGAGGGGACGGGGATTGTCCCTGCTTGGATTTCTCTCCTTAGGCTGCATCCCACGCCTTGCAGAGCTCTGGTATCCCCGCTGGAAGAGCCAGGGAGAGGATTCAGCTTCTCCATTCCCATCTCCTCCCCAAGGAATGTCCCGCCAAGCCGGGCTTTAGTGGTCACAGTGAAAACCCAGCCCAAACCGAGTCCCCTTCCAGCCAAACCCCTTAGCCAGATGTGGATCCAAGAGATTCCAGGGCCAGAAGACAGCCTGGGATGCCCCAATGCAGCTCCACGAGCTCTCCAGAACGTTGATCCAAAGGGATCATTCCCAGTGTTCGTGTTTATTTCCTTTTTTCCCACTCCAGGAGCGAATCCCAGGGTGCCCAAGTATCCCTTGTGCTTTTCCCAAGGTTCCAGGAGCGTTGGAGAGTTGTGTTCTCTCTTCCAGCAGAAGGGGATTCCTGCAGAGCAACCAACCCCATTCCAAAAGAAAACCAAAAAATAAAGACAAGACAGAGGGAAGGAAATCTCCCTCCTTTATGGACAGGGAAAAAAAAGGAATAAATCCAAAGGAATCTCCCTGTGCCCCAGGGCTGGCAGGAGGTGTCCGGATCCCAGAGTTTGTGGTGGTGGTGGTGGGAAAAGTCCTGTCGAGCTCCAGGCGCCGTGGGCAGCCCATCCTGTGCTCTCCAGGGCATTCCTGGAGAATTCCTGGAGAATTCCTGGCTGCCCTGGCATGGGCTCCTTGGCATGGGCTCCGTGTCCCGTCCCTCCCGCCAGCAGAAAGGCCAGCGGTGCTCGCTGCGACCTCGGCGCCGCTCCCCAGGCCAAGGACGCGTTTCCTCCTTCAGCCGCTGCGGGTTTTGCTTTGTGAATTCACAGTCTGATCCCAAAAAAAGTGAGGGGGGGAGGGAAAAAGAGAGAGACTGGATGGAGGGGAGGAGGGGGAGGGTTTGGAGCGGGGAAGTGGGGAGGGAGGAAGCGTGAGGCACTCTGGGCTCTCCGTCTACGCATAGAACTCCTCCTGCTTGTCGGGCTTCTGGTAGGTGACGTTGGCCTGCTTGGGCTCCTCCAGGGTGTAGCTGCCCTCGTCCTTCTTCTTCATGCGGTAGATGAGCAGCATCACCAGGAAGGCGGCGAAAAGGGCGCCCACCACGCCCCCCACGATCACCGCTGCAACAACGCACAGGGACACGGCCGTCAGTGCCACCCGCGGCTGTCAGTGTCACCCGCGGCTGTCAGTGCCACCCCTCTGGTCCTCAGTGCCACCCCTCTGGTCCTTAGTGCCACCCATGGCCATCAGTGTCACCCCTCTGGTCCTCAGTGCCACCCATGGCCGTCAGTGTCACCCCTCTGGTCCTCAGTGCCAGCCCAGCCCCAGCCTGGCTTCCAGGACAAAGCATTTTTGGGGGATCATTTGGGATTTCAGCCTGGTTTTATGCTTTGGAAATTTGGGAGCAGCCTCGCAGCCGTGGCCGGGTCACTGCAGCACGTCTATGGAATTGGAGGGAAAACAATCCCGTTTTTATCCTGGAAATCCCTCTCAGCAAAAACAAATTGTGCACAATGTTCCTGGCAATGGAGACCCTGGGACACCCTACGGAGCGATTTCGGGAGGCGGGTGTGGGTTATCCCAACGCCCTTCCCAGGACTGTCCCCTCTCCTGGGACAGCCCAGCTCCCTGTGTCCCCAAACCCTCACCCGAAGACCGGCCCCGTATCTCACCTATCAACACCTCCTTCCTCTCCAGGATGTTCTTCTGGGGCAGCTGAGCAGCCGAGTTGCCCGAGTCTATCGTGTTGTCCATCAGCCCCGTCTCCACATTCCTGCCGGGCCCCGGCCCTGCCGGCGGCGTCACCACAGCCATCACCTCGTTCCTGAGGTCGGGACGAGTCGTCTCCTCCTCCTCCCGGATCTCAAAGTCCCCACTGGGGCCGCTGCTGGCCGGCACCTCCAGCTCATTCTCAGGGACTGCTGTCACCTCCCCTGGCTCCATCTGGGAGAAAGGACAAGATGGAGCAGGGGACAAGGACCAAGGGGTGTCCACAGGGTCAAGGTCCCCATCACCGACCGAAGACAGGGTGGGGGACATGGGGGTAACATCGAGGTTGTCCCTTCCCTGTGTCACTGAACTTGTACCGCAGTGACAGCGCAACCCCAGAGCTCCATGATCACCAAATGGCTGAGGGGGAGCTGGGCCCATGGACCTGCTCCCTGTAGGTTCTCCTAAAGAGACCCCAACCCAGACCCTCTGTCCTTACAGGGAAGGATTTCTCCCCAGTATCCCATCCCAGAGCCTCCTCTTGCTCTGTCCCCAGGGCGCAGGTTGGATGTCACCGCTCGCAGGTGGCTCACTCCTAACAGGAGGTGACACAACGTCCGTGCCACACCGGCACAGCGAGAGAAAGGATTGGATGCTGCTGGATGAGCTCCAGGGGTCCCTTCCCTCTTCCTTTCCCCTGTTCCTGCTGCACGGGGCAGGAGCAGGAGGATGGCTCCTTGTCCCCCAGGACCCAGAGCTGTCACCCAGCTGTCACCCTGCTGTCCCTGCCCAGTTCCCTCGGCAAGGAGGGGATCCCGACCTCCAGGGTAAATATTGCCTGGGAATATGATCCATCCCATCCCTGATCCATTCACTGCCTACTGCACATCCCCTCGGAACCAAACCCCCCGGACCTTCCCCTTGTCCCTCGGCTGAGCTGGAGCATCCCCGATCCAAACCTCGCCGGGATCCCTCCCTGCCGGGCCGCCCTTCCCGCCTGCCCCGCTCACCACGCGGGATTCTTGGGATCCAGGGATGAGCCAGGAGCTGTGGGGAGGGGCCGGGACCCTCTCCATGTCCTGGGGCCAGCGCACGGCTCAGCGCTTCCCACGAGCCGGGTTTGTGACAGGGATTAATTGAAGGTCAGGGAGAGCCCCGAGCGCTCCGAGCACGCATTTGCAGGCGGAAAAGAGGGAGTAGTTTAGACAAATCACTCCACCTTTCAGTCAAAGCGGCTGCAAAGGGCCCCTGAGGGGCTCTGAATGCGAGATGGAGCTGAAACTCCTGCTCAGGACACCCGACGGGCTGGAAAGGCACCATCAAGCCGTAATTGAGGAGAGCGAGGGGCTCCCGGCAGGGCTGGGGGCTGGGACACGACACCAAACCCAGGAAAGTGGCTGCGTCCCCTGGGATGCGGCACTGCTGCCCTCCTGCCTGGGGAAGCTGGAAGTGCTGGGGACACCGAGGTTGGTGGCACATCCTGGGTGTCCCCAGGAGCTTGAACCCCTGCCCGGGTGGAACTCCCCCTTTCACCTCCCCAGGTGTTGTGTCCCCAGCCTGCCTCGACCTCCCTCAGAGCAAGTGGCCAAGGATGGATGGACACCAAAGGCCTCCTGTGGCCACCTCTTGGCTCCTCACGTAGCCCAGGACCCCGAGCAGGTGAGAAGGGCTCCGGCCTCCTACCTGGGGGGCCTCGGTGGGCGGCAGCGTGGTGGCCACGGGCGGCAAGGCCGTGCTTTTCTCGGGGAGCTCTGCAGTCCTGGAGGTGCTGGGCTTTGGCAGAGCCCTGGGCTTGGCCGTGCTGCTGGGGACAAGGCGTGACGTGGCCACCTCTGTCGGGGTGCTGGTGTCAGGGACGGGCGTGGTGGGGGTCTCCAGGGTGGTGGCCCGCGTGGTGGCNGTGTCCTGGGGAGTGGGGGACGGCTCCAGGGGCGTTGCCACGGGCTGGGCGGCGGTGACAGGCAGCACGGCCGCTGTGGTGGGCAGTGTCACCAGTGTGTCCGTGGTCAGGCTCACGGCCGTGTCCAGCCCCAGTTCCGGCTCGAAATCTGAAACGGGGGGCGAGAGGGAGGAGTGAATCCGCTGCTGAGGCATTTCCCTGGCATCACCCCCAAAATCCGAGAGCACGGATGGTTCCAGGCTCAGCAGAAACCAAAGGCTGTTCCCTTGTGGTGGCCAACGCCCTCTCCGGGGTCTTTGGAAGGGCCAGTCCTGCCCAGTAGGGCTGAACTGGGACATGGAGGCACTGGAGCCCAACTTCTGGGACAGTTCCAGTTGCTTTTGTCTCAGAGGACAACTCCAGTGATGGAGAAAGGGAAAATCACACCTCTTCTCCAGCCCTCCAACCCCACAGCCAGTCAAGGACCTTCCCAAGAGTCCCACAACGATCCAGAAACCCTTCCCAGGATCTCCCCAATGATCCAGGAACCCTTCCCAGGAGCCTCTCAATGATCCAGGAACCCTTCCCAGGAGCCTCCCAACCCCACAGCCAGCCAAGGACCTTCCCAGGATCTCCCCAACGATCCAGGAACCCTTCCCAGGAGCTCCCCAGGTACTCACACCCCGAGCCAGAGCCAGAGTAGATGTCGTCCAGCTCATCTTCTCCAAAGGGATCATCGTCCCCGGAGCCCTCCAGGTCCACGGGCCTCTCGTAGTTCTCATTGCGCCAGCGCTGAGCCTGTGACCGGAGGGACCCGTGAGTGGCTCCAGCCCCACCAGGAGCTACCCCAGCCAGAGACAGGCAACAGCAGCACAAACACCCTGCAGCTGAACCACCCAGAATCGCGCGGTTTTCCCCCAAAGCAACTCAGTGAGCTCACATCAACATTTCCCGTGGACAAAAAGCCCTTTTGTTTTGGGGAAAACCCAATTCCTTTTGGGAGCTGTAAGGAAAATGCTCGGTTTGGTTCTCCAGCTGGCTGCTGCTCAGGCTCGATGATTTCCCTGTGAGTCCTGGCTCCGGTGTGACAGCAACACCTCATCAGCTGCCACAGCTTGGGAAGCCTCGAGAGGAAACAACAGCAGACTTCAAATATTCCCCTGCTTCCCAGAGCTGCGAGAACGCGGGGAGCCCTCGCTAGCAGCGCTCTTAAACATCTTGTTTTGCAGATCAAAGTGTCTCCTGTTGGCGTTGCGAGGAAATGCTTTGACACCTCATTACAAGGCAAACAAGGCAGCTTTGATCTGCGAGATCGCATCAGATGTTTCAAGATGTAACAAGCCAGGTTCCAGCTTCAGTTTCAAATCAAGGCCTTGAAGGGTCCCTGTCGCCTCTCGGAGCATTTTACCTCCCGAAAACAGCTCCGGGTTTCTTTGTTTTCGCTGCGGCTTGGAGCAGGAAGGAGTTTTGAACAATCAGGTGGAGAAATTTGTGACCTGACTCGAGTTTTGTCCCCACATCTCTTCTCCCATCAGGAGAGAGAATCCATCGGCTCAGGAGGGGCTGTGGGAGTTGAGCTTTTAAGTGTCTGAGCTGTTTCTGGCTGGATCTGTTCCAGCTCTTCCCAGCAGCCACCCGATGTATCCTGCAGGTCTCCAGCACCCCACGTGCTCCCCAAATCTCGGGGATTATTCAGGCTTTGCCCCCCAGCTGATGCCCCATCCTGGATTCCCAACACCTGCTCCCCAGCAGCTCACTGGAATTTGTGATTTAGCAGAGTAAATCCACAGGGATTTGGGAATTGCGCAGCCCAAGAATATGAGACGGGACACCAAAACTGATGGGAAGGCATGGAAAAATGCCAGGGAATGAGGGGATGCAGGAAGGAACTCTGGGAATCACTCTTCTGCCTTTGTTTTTACACCAAATGTATCAAGGCTCCCCAGGAAATGAGGAGAGCCCAGCGCTCCCCAGCCCATTCCCGAGGGTGGGATTCTCCCTGCACAGCCTCTCCCTGATGGGAGCCACATGGCCCCAATCCCTTTGTTCCTCCTGGAATTGGAACAAGATGAGGCCGTTCCAGACTCCTGGCTCCAGGCTTGGAGCAGGAAACGGGAATGGAAGCACCAGCTTGGCACAGCAGCTCCCATCCATCCAACATCTGTCTGTGCATCCATCCCTCATCCATCCTTCATCATCCATCCATCCATCCGTGATTCATTCCATCCATCATCCATCATCCATCCATCATCCATCCATCATCCATCCATCCATCATCCATCCATCCATCATCCATCATCCATCATCCATCCATCCATCATCCATCCATCCATCCATCCATCATCCATCCATCCATCCATCCATCATCCATCCATCCATCATCCATCCATCCATCCATCCATCCATCCATCCATCCATCCATCCATCCATCATCCATCCATCATCCATCCATCCATCCATCCATCCATCCATCCATCCATCCCAACCCTCAGCCAGGACCAACACAATCCCAACAACCCCACAGGCAGGACCACACCTGGGGTGACCCCACCTGCAGCACAACCCCAGCCAAGCCCCACAAAGACTTGGGAACCATCTTGGGGTGTTCCCGGTGCCCAGGGGGGTGTTTGGGTCCTGGCTGTTCCCGGAGAAGCCCCCTCATCCCACCATTCCCAAGGCACTGACGTAACCCCCTCCGAGCAGTGGCCCCGACAGGAGGTCAGGCTCGTGCCGTAAATCTTGGGAGCAGCCGGGTTTTATTTAGATTTAGTGATGCTTGGATCATGAATGCTCCGTGAGCCCCTGGCTGTGCATGGCCCCCTCCCTGGGAATGAGGGGCTGATCCCCCCAGAATGAGGGGATGTTCCCCCTTGGAATGAGGGGCTGATCCCCTGGGAATGAGGGGCTGCTCCCCCCAGAATGAGGGGCTGCTCCTCCTGGCCTGGCAGGGATGGAGGGGAGGGAAGGCAGAGTTTGTCCAGGAAACCACAAATCATTCAGGACAGCAACTCCCACCTCCCGACCTGGGGCTGCCTTCCCATCCATCCCAGCCCCCATTCCCAATCTATCCCAGCCCCCATTCCCAACCCATCCCAGCCCCCATTCCCAACCCATCCCAGCCCCCAAGCCAAGCCACAGCTCCCTGATTTGTCCCAAAAGAAAAACCTCATCCAGACTTTATCCCTGCCCCTGCAGGCTCCGTGTGGTCAGAGCACGGCTGGAGGGACCCCTGGATGTGCCGGAGCCGACCCTGCGGCCCCACTGCCCCCGGATGGTGGCAGGAACTGCCCAGCTGAGGCTCGGGGCTCCTTACCCAGCTCGGAGCTGCTGTGTGAGGGAAATGAAACCCCAGGATCACGGCGGAGCTGCGGGAGGCAGCGGGATGAGGCTGGGCTGGGGGGCTGCGTCACCTCTGGATGAGGAGTGGGAAGGTTTCAGTGTGCCCAGGACTGTCCTGCAGCCAGGGAACTGCTCCTGTCACACCCCTGTGTCCCATGAGCCAGGCTGGGACCCGGCTCTGGAATCACCAGACCCCAAACAATGCCCGTTCCCAGGGTCCCCAAAGGTCACGGCGCTGCTGCCATAAAAACAGGCCCTGATGAAGAGCAGACTCCAGGGCAAGGCCACAAAGTCACATTTCACGGAATGCTCCCTCATTGTGCTCTCAATGACCCCAAATGAGAGCCAGACACAAAGGGTTTGGAGCTCAGCGGTGACGTGACCACTACCTCCAGCTCGGGGAAGAAACACAGCCCATCCCAGAGGATCCTTTTCCGCCTGGAAAGAGCGATCGGCAGGTGATGATTCCCACCTGGACGCTCCCTGCTCGCTCCTGTGCCTCCAGCTCAGCTGGGCTGGCAGGGAACAGCAGCCAAGGGGTCCCAGCAGCACAAATCCCACCCAAATCCTGCCCTGAGAGCCCTGGACAGCCAGGGAGAGCTCAGACCTTAAAAATGCAGGGCCCAGGAGGGACCTGTCACCTTCACGGCACAAAGATGGTCCTGCAGAACCATCTCCATCTCTGACACGTCCTGGAGGACAGGGAGCGCCTGGTTTGGAGCTTCCTAAATTCCCTGTACATCCCTCCTTCTCCAGGCAGTGTTTCGTTATTTAGGGCATTTCCACCCTGTGGAATTTAAAACTCCCTAAATCTGCCCCAAAACAGAACCCAAAACGCGCTGCTGTAGTAAAAGCTCTCAGTGCCGAGTGTTTCGCCGCGGGAGGAGGGAAACCTGGGAAATCAATCCATCTTCAAGCACCGGGAGAGGCCAGGGAACCTCCCTGGGATGCTCTCAGGCCCTGCTGCGCCGCTCGCCATCGCCACGGCAACGGTCGCCATGGCAACGCCTCCTCCATGGCGACGCATCCCGCTGGAGCCATGGGTGGTGTCCTCCAGCTCAAATCCAGGGATTTGCTCCTTCCCGCGGTGGGGGCAGCGGGAGGGGGTCAGTGGGTGGGATGAGGAGGGGGACAGGGGGAGAGGAGGCACCTCCAGCTCCTGGGGGAGCTCTCCAGGCCGGGGGAGAATCCTGATTTAGTTCCGGGCATCCATCCATGGATTTTGAGGAGGGGGAAGCAGCACCCCCAGCTCCAGCAGCCCTGACTGGGAGGGATCTGCTCCAGGTGGGATGTGACAGGGACATCCCGGCCTGTGGCTGTTTCCAGCCCTCCTGGCTGCAGCAGAACCTCAGGAGATTTTTCCTTGAGGGAATCAGGAAGGAGATCAGGATCTGGCTGTGGAACGTGGTGGTTCCTGAGGAGCCGGGACCTGGTTTGGGTTGTGCCTGGAGCTCCCATCCCACAAATCCCCATCCCTTGGTGCCGTGTCCAGGTTCTCATCTCTGCATCCCATTCCTGCCCGTCCAAAATGAACAAAAAGCCAAAATCACTGCACTTGCTTGGATTCCAGCCAGCTCTGGGATCCAGATCCAGAGAAATTCTGGGAAGTCTAAATCCAGAGAAGTTCTGGGAGGTCCAAATCCAGAGAAACTCTGGGAAGCCCAAATCCCATTCCAGCAGCTCCGAGTGCCACAGGGCACCAGGACAGGGCGAGCTGGAAGGAGAGAGGCCCTGGCAGGATGGAGCCAATGGATCAGCAGCATCCCGGGCTGTCTCCTCCCAGGGAAATGCTGGATCTGGGCACGTTGGAAAGCTTGGAATGACACAGCCAGGGGCAGGAATCCATCAGGAGCCAGAAAATTTTCTTCTCCAGGAAAACATTTCTACACTGAGAATATATCGCGGGGGAAATGTTGATTCTTTGAATATTTTCCATGGGATATTTTCAATTAATCACTCCTCAAAAGTCCTTTTCTGGTGTTTTATACTGAAACCTCAATAATTCATCCCAGCCAGTGATTTAGGGACACCATAAACAGCTGGAATAATACGAGCTTGCACAAAAAGCTGGAATGAAAACACAGGTTCTGACGCTTAAAAGACTCCACGATTCTTTTCCCACTCCAAAACATCGCTGAATTTCCACTCCCCGATCCAAGGCTGAGAGTTAAAAATAAATCTTTTGGAAAGCTGCTCCAGGCAGGAACCTGGGAAAAGACCACCGTGGGATGGAGGACCACCAGAGCTGCTCGGGAGGGAGATTCCCAAGGCAGAGCCCAGGAGGATGGGCTGGAATTTGGGATGCAGGATGCTGGGAAAGGGGTGTGGATGCTCATCCCAGTGGAGATCCCACTCTCAAGATGTGACATGAGCTCAGCCAGCACCAGCTCCTTGTTTTGTGTCCCCTCATTGTTCCTCGATTAATTAAACCCCCAATTAAGAGCTGCCCAAAGCCGAGCGCGTTTGGTTTTAATTGGCCACTCATTTTCTGCAAGGAAAATAATCATTAACGTCGATGGAGGAGCTGCAATTATCCCAGATTTGTACAGATTCTCCAGTGCCAGCCACAGGAGCCAGGCACTTCCCAAAAATGGACATGGATGCTCCCGAGTTTCATCATCCCCCAGGGAATGCAACAAAACTCCGGCTCCAGGTGCTCTGGTCACACTCAGCTCCACCTCTTCCTCCCTTTCCCTGGGACTGCCCATCTCCACTCATTTTTTATCCCAGTTCTTCCACGGATCAGCGCCAGATCCCAGCTGGATCCCAGGCTGGGATGGGCAGAGTTTGGGATGGGGCCAGCTCTGTCCCTGCTCTGCCTGACCAGGCCTGAGGATTCCCAGCTCCAGATTTATTAATTCCCATGGGATTGCTCATTGCCATGGCAACACAGCCAAACCAGAAAATCCAGCCCTGCCCTCATGCTGCCCACAGCCTGCAGTGCACCGTCCATGGGCACCTCCGGTGGCTCCCACCCCCTGCTCCATCCATTCCTGTTCCATCTATTCCTGTTCCATTCATTCCTGTTCCATCAATTCCTGCTCCATCCATTCCTGCTCCATCCATTCTTGCCCCTGTTCCATCCATTCCTGTTCCATCCATCCCTTCCCCTGCTCCATCCATTCCTGCCCTGCTCCATCCATTCCTGCCTCTGTTCCAGCCATTCCTGTTCCACCCATTCCTGTTCCATCCATCCCTTCCCCTGCTCCATCCATTCCTGTTCCATCCATTCCTGTTCCATCCATTCCTGTTCCATCCATTCCTTCCCCTGTTCCATCCATTCCTTCCCCTGTTCCATCCATTCCTGCCCCTCCATTCCTGCCCCTGCTCCATCCATTCCTGTCCCTGTTCCATCCATTCCTATTCTGTCCATTCCTGTTCCATCCATTCCTTCCCTTGCTCCGTCCATTCCTGCTCCTGCTCTGTCCATTCCTGCTCCTCTTCCATCCCTTCCTGCCCTGCCCCATCCCTTCCTCCCTTCCCGGCTCCCCGAGCCGCCATCCCAGCTGGAATTCCCCTCCTCCTCCTCACTCCGGAATTGTTTTAATTTGCTCTGCTCCATAATCCTATTGCAGCTTAACGTGCAGAACTGTCCCGGGCTTTTCTCACCTTCCACCGGGGCTCATTCCTGAGCTCCCTCAGCTCTCCCGGCTCCGCTTCCCAACCAGCTCCACACGGGAATTTATATCCATGGATATTCCCGGAGCTCTTGGATCAGGGATGGGCCTAAATCCCTAAATCCGGGCTGGTGCTGGAATTCAGGGATTCCCACGTTCCCTGTTTTCCAGCTCCTCCAGGAGCCGAGGGAATCCGCTCCTGCGCTCCCTCCCCAGGCCACGGACATGGGCAAGAAAAACGGATTCTGATGGGTTTTTAATGGATTATTTTGGGAATTCAGAGTTGAGAGGGAGCGGAGGAGCCCAGGGGGAGAAGGAAATCCCTGCCAGCCTCAATTCTCCTGGAAAAGAGCTGCGAATGGTCCGGGAACGGGGAGCGGCTCCTCTCCCATCCCAGGGAACACTTCCTAACACGGAAACCCTCGTGCCATCCACGCTTCCCTCTTTTCCCTGTCCCCAGACATTCCCGGGGCTGGATATGCACCTGTTTCCTTTCCTTAATGCTTTTTTCCCCAATTCTCCCTCTGTTTTTAATGTTTATTTTCTATTTCTCATCCCTTCAATTCCAGATTCCAGAACCTCTTGGCTCTTCCCAGCAAAGAGAGGAGAAAAAATTCATTCCCAGCCCTCCTGAGCCGGAAGAAAACCCCAGAAATTTGCACCTGAAAGTCTCAGAAGCAGAAACAAAAGAAGCCCAAAATTCCAGAGTTTTTCAGCCACGCCTGAGGAGCTCCGTGGGAATTTTGGCACACCCAGAAAAATAAAATAAAAAATATTTTCCCCATAAAACGGATCCTGAGGAGGAGCTGTGGGGAAGAGCCTGCTGGGGAGCAGCTTCCTCTGTCCTAATTAATCCCAAAATTATCCCTGAGAGGATTTTTCTGGCGATCTGAATAAATTATTCCCATTTTCGGGATATTTCCGTGCGCCCCCTCTGTGCAGGAAGGCAAAACCCAACATTTTGCTTTCCTGGGGGTTTTTCTCCATCCCCGAGGAGCGGCTGATCCCTCGGGGTGGATCCCTGGAATTCCAGGCTCCCAAATCCGGCCCTGCTGGGATCCGGGAGGGGTTTGGTGACAGCTGGAGCTGCTGGGAGCACCCAAATCTCCCGGCAGATGGTTGGGCTGATTACAGAGCCCGGGTCACCCCAGGGCACCCCGGCGCTTCCAGAGGCTCCCGAGGGGCTGGAAATATTCCCTCTCCAGCCTCGCACCGGGAATGAGCTTCTTTTCCCCATTTTCCACCATTTTCCACCATTTTCCCCCATTTTTCACCACTTTTTGCCCATTTTCCACAGCTTTTCCATCATTTTCCCCCCATTTCCACCATTTTTTGCCCCTTTCCCACCATTTTTTCCTATTTCCCACCATTCTTTCCCATTTCCCACCATTTTTTCCCGTTTCTCATTACTTTTTGACCCACCCCACCATTTCCCCCCATCCCTTTCCAC